GTTAATGCGTATTAAGCTGTATATCATAGTGTAGTATAGTGCTAATTGATCGTTTAAGGCTGGAAAAGGTGTGAGTGTAAATGCGTAGGATTATCAGCGCTAAGTCATTACTGAAGTTGAGCATAGCGTAATGCAACTTTAGCTGCTTTAAAGAAACGGGACAGTTTTATGGTTTAACTACGTGATTTCAAGGATAAAAATTGATAGTCATGGAGAAGCTGTGCGTAAATTTGAGTCGCTTTAACAACCTTTAGGTATTTTTCATCTGCTCTGTTTATCAACGAGGCTGTATTGTTTTGGTTTATAGAGCGAAGAAAAAGCTTATTAGCGTATTGATGTCTCGCTTTCCATTTATCGGTTTCGAGACGAAGTTCATTCGGGACTATTTAAAAAACTGTCTGAAACTCGCTAATTATTTCGTTGACTTAAGATTTGCCATCCTCAATCTGATCGTGGAACGGTTACTCATGATCGATGTAAGTTAATTAATTGTGCTGTTTTTACTGTTTCATTCGTAAGCTTTTATAGACTTCTTGTGCAAAAGAAACGGCGCACGGTCAACAGGCGCTCGAACAAAATGCGGCAGAAATATTTGAAATGGTAAGCGTTGAATAATGGAACTATGCTCCTTGTGAGTACTATCTATTAAATACGATTGATTTTAATGACAGAGGATACTACAGTGGTCTGTTGTGATGATCGTTCCCCCATTGTGGGCTTTTAGGATTTATGGACCGATAAACCCCGTTTATTTACCATCGTATTACGTCATTACCTTGATTGATTTGGTTATGCAAAACATCTCTAGTTTATGGCGTCTACTGTGTCTCAGACTCTCTACATTTTCGCTATAAGACGCAATTTTCTCATCGCGGACGTTAACGGTTGTTCTCCAAATGCAGTGCTTGTGCGCTATCATGTTGCATGCGGGCTCCTTGCAAGATTAAGTAAAGAATGGCGTTGTTCCCTTGCAGACAAGAAAAATGAAAAAGGTGATTAGCGCTATTAGATAAACTGTTTGAGCAGAAATCATTTACTTAACCCTTGAGCTTCTCGTTGGGGCGCCAGAATTTGGCAAACATCAGCGAAAAAGCGAGTGTGCAACTTGCAGAAAGGACGTGGAAGCAGATCTGCCTTCGGAGAGGAATATTTTCTTCTACGATGCAGCAATCCGGCATCTTGTTGCAAAATTGTTAAACTATACGAATACAACGGATATCAGAGTCTAGAAGCGTTCAGCTCGAGGCTCAAGCGGCTCAAGAACAACATGAATGGTTTAACACGAACCCACACGGGCTCCATGTAGTTATCTGATATTCTTCGGTTATGCTATAAGGAGTTCGTGGGCTGGATTGAAGCGCTTATGCTCTACAAGTTTGTCTGTTAGGCCCTTTATCAATTTCTTTGTTTTACTTTTGCAATGTCCAAATCGTTTATAAAACGAATGATCTTATAACGAAGTGCGCGAGGCTTCTGAAAATTCGTTTAAATGGCATTTTAA